ATAAATCACGCTGCAAACAAATACTGCATACAATTTGTAATTACTATCACAATTTTAGTAAATGGATCATAGTTTTTAGAATTTTATTTTATTTCCACATACATTTTCATAAATTGCATAAAGCGTTGCATTTGTTCTGCGCCATGGTTTGTTAAGAAAATAATCTGTTTGTGTAACATTTTCAATATTCCGTTTATTTACATTTTATTTCATTGGACATTCTAAGCAAACCACCCAAGTGATGTTTTCATACTACTACTACTAATAAACAATGAATGAATTCTTGTTTTATTAATGATTTATTAACGACCATTAATAACTAATATTTATATTTTTTCATATAAAACTTTAGCTTTGTGGCTGGTGTTATTTTGCGTGAAAAATTGCCAGCATTTGAGCGTATGTTGTGGCGTGCCTGTCGTGGTAATGTGTTTTTGCGTCAAGCCATGATTGAATCACCATTAGAAGATCCCTCCAATGTAAGTTGTTGAAAATTTCTTTTAGTTTTCTTAAAAAAAAACAACTCTCTAATTTTCATAAATTTCTTTGATTTATTTTAGGGTGATCAAGTATACAAGTCCGTTTTCATTATTTTCTTCCAAGGTGATCAGCTTAAAACTCGTGTTAAGAAAATCTGTGAAGGTTTTAGAGCCACTTTATATCCTTGCCCCGAGGCACCAGCTGATCGTCGTGAAATGGCCATGGGTGTCATGACACGCATTGAGGATTTAAATACGGTGTTGGGTCAAACACAAGATCATCGTCATCGTGTATTGGTAGCAGCCGCTAAGAACCTAAAGAATTGGTTTGTTAAAGTTCGTAAAATTAAAGCCATCTATCATACATTGAATCTATTCAATTTGGATGTAACACAAAAGTGTTTAATTGCTGAATGTTGGGTGCCGGTATTGGACATTGAAACGATACAATTGGCTTTGCGTCGTGGTACTGAACGTTCGGGTTCGTCAGTGCCACCCATTTTAAATCGTATGCAAACATTTGAAAATCCTCCTACGTACAATCGTACGAATAAATTTACTAAAGCTTTTCAAGCATTAATTGATGCCTATGGTGTGGCTACGTACAGGGAAATGAATCCGGCTCCTTATACCATTATTACCTTTCCCTTTTTGTTTGCTGTAATGTTTGGTGATTTGGGTCATGGTGCTATTATGGCCTTATTTGGTCTCTGGATGATACGCAAGGAAAAAGGTTTGGCTGCTCAAAAGACAGACAATGAAATATGGAATATTTTCTTTGGTGGTCGTTACATTATCTTCTTGATGGGCGTGTTTTCCATGTATACCGGTTTAATCTACAATGACATATTTTCGAAATCTTTAAATATATTCGGTTCGCATTGGCAGGTGAATTACAATGCTTCCACGGTATTGCATAATAAATATTTGCAATTGAATCCGGAAGTAAGTGACTACATGGGTACTCCCTATCCGTTTGGCATGGATCCGATATGGCAGGTGGCTGGCGCCAATAAAATCATTTTCCAAAATGCTTACAAAATGAAAATTTCCATTATATTCGGTGTTATACACATGATCTTTGGTGTATTGATGTCTTATCAAAATCACACCTATTTCAAGAATCGTTTATCGCTGATCTATGAGTTTATTCCACAAATGATTTTCTTGATATTTTTGTTCTTCTACATGGTCTTGCTGATGTTTATTAAATGGAATCGTTACGCCGCTACAAATCCACGTAAGTTAACATAAATGTTTAATAAAACACAGAATATTAAAATGTTTTTCTTTTTTTGGGTTAAATAGAACCCTATTCTGCATCTTGTGCTCCTTCCATTTTGATTACATTTATTGATATGGTTTTGTTCAATACACCAAAGAAGGCTCCAGATGGTTGTGAAGTGTACATGTTTGCTGGACAACATTTCTTCCAAAACGTATTTGTTTTGATAGCTTTGGCCTGTATTCCCGTTATGCTGTTGGGCAAACCCCTACAAATCATGAAACAACGTAGACAAGCTAATGTAAGTATTGAAGAATTTTTATAAATTAAATTCATTATAGGTTTTGCAAATTCATATGCATTTTTTTTCAAGCATTAAAAACCCATTCCTCACAGTTATCATCATCATTATACTAAGCTTTTTCATACATTTTATTTCCTAACTAAGAAATACTAATACAAATTACACTATATTTTCCCTTCCTTTAAACAATTTTTCCTAAAAATAATAAAAAACAAAACAGGAGGAGGTTAGTTAGCCAAAGAAGTTTTTTTTTTCATTTAAATTAGTATTTACTTATTCTGAACAGTTATTTCATTTATTTTATGTTGTATTTTATTAAAATTAAAGGTTCAACCTATTACTGGCTCTAGTGATGCTGAAGTTGGTATGTCTAATGGTCAAGCTGCTGGTCATGGTGGTGCTTCTCATCACGATGAAGAGGAAATGTCCGAAATATTTATACATCAAGGCATTCATACAATTGAATACGTTTTGGGTTCTGTCTCTCATACTGCTTCCTATTTGCGTCTCTGGGCTTTGTCATTGGCTCATGCTCGTAAGTATTTAGGAATACAATTAAGTGGCAACTACTTTTTATATCCATTAAAATTTTTATGAAAAATATTTGTTTTCCTTTCCTTTAGAACTTGCTGAGGTCTTGTGGAATATGGTATTGTCAATTGGTTTGAAGCAACAAGGCTGGCTAGGTGGCATCATGTTAACCATTGTCTTTGCTTTTTGGTCCATTTTAACTGTTGGTATTCTAGTACTAATGGAGGGTCTTTCAGCCTTTTTGCATACATTACGTTTGCACTGGTAAGTAACTAGCAACTCTTGCAACAATTTGCGAACAACAATTAATAATTTATTATTTTCTCCATAGGGTTGAATTCCAAAGTAAATTCTACCAGGGTCAAGGTTATGCATTCCAACCATTCTCATTTGATGCTATTATTGAAAATGGTGCTGCTGCTGGACCCAATGAAAATGAATAAATTAAGTAAAAGGACTAAATGTTACCTTAATTCATTCATCTAAAGAAAATCTCATATACATATATTTAAAACCTAATGAATTTATTTAAAAACAAGTTAATGGTTATTAGTCATAATAGAGCACCGATAATTGCTTTTAAAACTATTTACATAATATGTATTTAATATTTATACATTTATATTCAAACATAATTCATTCAATATTGTATTTATTTAACAAAGAAAAGTTTATTGTGCAACCAAAGTTGAGAAAATATTTATAAAATACACATAAAGAGATTAAAATTATCTAAAATAAAAACTTATCTTAATTATTTAGCAAATGTTTTTAAATAAATATGAAAGAATAGCATTAGTAAACCTTAAAAACATTTGTTAGTCTTTAGACATATGGTAACCACTACATGTAAACATAATTTAAATATTAGTATATATTTTAGCCGGTGACTAAATCATCACTCCATTGAATTATTTCAACAGATTTTATGTAAAGTTTTATGTAGTTAAATAAAATGGTTGAATGGATGTTAAGTGTTTAATAAAAAAGTTTGCAATTAAAATTAAACTTTTAAATATATATATTATTAGCATGTTTTTAATAGTAATCACATGAATTTATATACAATATTTATATTAATAATACCTACTACTGTTCAACTAATTATGTATGTATTTATTACATGACATTCATATATAATTTTTTTTAGTAAATGTTATTTGCTTGGCATATTAATATCTAATAAAAAAGCTTGGAATAGGCGCTATTCCGAAACAGGCAAAATATTTGGTGTTTTTCTTAATTTCTAAATATTGTTGGGGCCGTTTAAAAATAATCAATTCTTAATGCCCCTCTGCAAATTCAAATTTATTTTGCAAAATTAATTTAAAAATAAACAAAGAAATTGTGATAAAAGTTTAAAAATATTAAATAAAATTGGTCTTGATTTTCCTTTCTGAAGTGATGGCATTCTAAATCGAACAAGAAATATAGTACATTTAACTAATGTCAATATCGAATTTTCTGGTAATTCGGTCCGGGTTGTATTACTTCATTGAATGAAGTAAAATTTCGATTACGATTAATAATCAATTAAATTATTTTTCAAAAATAATCGTAATGATTATTTAATTCTCTGGTATAAAATTTCTGATTATTAATTGATTACGATTAAAATTAATCTAAAAATAATCAGGATTAATTTAAATTAATGAAAATTAAATTAATTTGATTATTTTCAAGGATTAATTTTGATTATTTTTGATTAATTTCAATACACTTAGTACAATTCTCTATCTTTTTACATTACGTGTAATGGAAAACTGTTTTTCAAGTTACACTCTATTCGATTATATGACTGTTTTATTGAAAACAATATATTTATCAAGTTTATTTCGATTGAAAATCTTGATCTCAGTACAACATATTAGAAAAAAATTAGTGCAATCTTTTCGAAATGGGTCTTAAAAAATCCGTAATTTTTAGCGGATTACCGGAAAAATAATTACATTTTTCATAAAGTTTTTTTTGGAGGAAATTATACCAAATATATGGAAAATAATCAAAATTAATCCTTGAAAATAATCAACTAATTTTTTGATTAATTTTGATTTTTTTTTTTGATTATTTTCAATAATTCCAATTAATCCCTGATTATTTTTAGATTATTTTTAATCGTAGTCAATAATTAATTAAAAAAATTGAAAATAATCGTTAATTAATCATTAATTTTACCTTTTTAATAGAAATAATCTAATTAATAATGATTACGATTATTAATCATTATTTTACAGCTATGCTTCATTCTTACTGTACATTGCCCCAAGCATTCTAAATGTTATTTATATCAACTCCTAGATTCTGTAAATAAGGTTTTAAAAAGCTGTAAACAAAATGTTGAAGTATCTACAAAGACCTAAGTTTCATTATTAAGAAGATCAGCAACTTTAATTCCCAAAGGTTTTCCAATATCTATTATCATTACTTTCACATTATTAAAATTAAAAAAAAAACGCCACCATTTCATTTTTATCCAAATGAATTTGTTTATTTAATTAACCATTAAATCATCCATAAATTCCACAAAACTGTCCATGTTTTTACCGGGTTCATACAATTTACGTTCGTTAAAATTTAAATTCTCCAAACAATTCTCCAACTCTTCCACAGTACAACATTCCAAATAGCCTTCCTTTTTCATATGTAAAGCCAATTCCTGCTGATGATTATTCATCAATTGATCGTTAATTACTAATATACCCGCTTTACGATTAGTCAATATATCCAAACAAGTGCCAGCTCCCGCATGACCAATCACAAGATCAGCATTTATAATATCCATACGTTTAGGTTCAATTTTAAAATCATACTGTTCCACTCGCATGCCATATTTGACGGCTATATCCTGTTCGTTGACTTTTTGGCCTTTTCCAATTTGTAGTATAAGATTTTTACATCCATTCGATTGAAGTATTTTGAGGACTTTGTCTGTGATAATAGTCTGTATAAGTGCATCAAATTTTGTGCTACCAACGGTGACATATACGGTTCGTATTTCTACCATATTGGGAATTATTTAAAGTATTTCTTTATTGAGAAAAAAATTGTTTATATTGCGACTAAGAAAAATAATTTTTTTGTTGATATTATTTAGTGATAAGGAAAAATATTACTCGTGTCAGTCGGTTATTTTAACAGCTGTTTCGAGTTTAATATGGTAACGCTATAAATAACGTGGCCACTATTTTTGTTTAATTTGACAGAAAACCGTTATGTTTAAAAAGTCTTAATCCATACAACAGTAAGTTTTCTCTCCTTTCCTTATAAATTTCATGTTCGGAAAAAAAATATTTCGGCTTTTATACCCTTTATCGGCATAAAACTCTGCTTCGATGTTTTAAGGAACACCACAAGAAGGGCCAAACAGTAGTTCCGAGGCATCCAATTGACAACACCAGCTTAAAGTAATGATTATCCAAGTTTATATACATATGTACATAAATAATTTATTTGAGCAGATAAACATGGCTCTGTAGAGCTCAAGTTGTTAAGATCGGTAGCTAGACGATGTTCTTGTATGATGTTGCAAACTTTCGGTTACAATAGACACCATGATTGCTACTCGGAATAACGAAATTCTTGTAGAAATTTGCCTATAGTAGGTAAAACTTGCGGATGCTTCATTTCAGCAAAAAAAAAAAAAAAAAATAACAAACAGCACTGCGTTTAGAGACAGTTCTGTATACCTCATTGATCGTTCAGGAATCCAATGTTTACTTAGAATTGCTTAAGTCAATATAGTAGAGAGACATTTGAATAATTTTCTACACAAAATGCCTGCCTTACATAATAGTATGGAAATAGTTATCCCTGAAAAAAAATTCTTCAAAATTTCGAAGCTGATGTTCTTAAGAATATTTATTAAATATTCAACTCCCTCGATGAATGTCTAGAGAAGTAATTTATCCATCTTTATTAGAGTTCTTAATATGAAAGAATTGTTTCAAGTCTTACATTTTCTGGTAAAAATAATTGTCTTTTATATTGTTAATTCGTTATTAATCATTACCATCGTAAAGATTTTTTAAAGAAAATTTGCGTTACATATTAATGATGTATTGGATACATGATAATACTATAGTATAGTGTTATATAGTCACTACCGTGTGCAAGCTACAGATATGTTGTGTTATGTTCGTTACAGTTTCAAAAATTGTATGAAGCATATTGCTTCCAATTGCGAATTTATTTTGTGTTGCCACATGATGGAATTTGTCCCCAAAATTTAGGATAATATAAAAAAAAAATTATGGTAGGATAATAGTGTATTTCCGATTTAGAGAATTTCATCGTAATTTGTCGTAAATCTTCAAACTCTGGTCAAATTTCAACTTTGATTTCACTAAAATCCAATTGTCATCTTGTTCTTGATCAGACATAAAACATGGCTCCTAATCGAAGAACCACCAACATTGAGTTAATCCTTCTGTATCTTCTTTAGAAATCTTGTCAACTGACATATTTCCCATTCAAATTGAAAATACTCTGAACTAACTCCGTCTACTTCCTCTAATGTCGCAACAAACACAATTGTTGTTTATCAAGTTTTTAATCCATTTTCTTACGTTTCAACACCCAAACCCCTAAAAACTATTACACCTCCTAGAAACTACGATTCGAATTTCATTGAGTACAGTTCTATGCTCAAAGAGTGATCTATACGATGATTGTTTAAAAATCTGTCTTGGTTCCTCTAATAGGAAGAAATCAGACTTCGAAATTTATATTGAGGGGCAGGTTCTCATTCAACTCATTAACCAAGTTTTAGGTATATCATATTTGTAGAAAGTTTAAGGAAAATTACATCAATATTTTGGGGAATTTCACCAAGTTGTTGAAAGGTTTATTTTATACACAGAAAATAGAGTCGTCTTTGTTGAATATCTATCAATAGATTTTTTAGACTATAGCGAATGCCGGTACTTAAGAAAATCGGTATTGATGAGAATCTAGGTTTTAGATAGTCGAATTTTTTATTGCTCAATATTGATGATTATTTAGAGTATATGGTAGAGGAAATTGAAACCCCTTGATTGGTTACCCAGCCTCTAAATATTTTAAACTCATTACCAAAAAATCATTCAACTTGGAATTTAAATACTCCAAATGTGAAGATTTCGCACAATTTATCTGGCTACATTAATTTTGTGTCTTACTATGTGTGTGGCCTGTCCAACCAGACACATATACAGAAAGAACGTCTGGAGCTTGAACAGCAACAACGAACCTCTAATTATTCTATAAAAATTTTTCACAACACAAAACGTTTAGTTGCTTGCCGGCCTTTGAGTTAAACAGTTCGTTCTTTTGGTTAGTGGATGCTCTTAAATACGACGAACAGCATCGTAGTCGTCACCATCATCAAAACAAAATTACATTTTACTGGCGCTTTTTTGATTTAATTTAGATTTTGCATACTCTGAAGGTGGTGGCAGTGTGTGTGTGTATTTCGAATCTGTGTGTAGCAGAGTACGAATAGAATAAAGTGATAAAACGTTTTCGCACGCGAGTCCAACCAAGTAAATCTATCTCATCTCTATATAGAATCGTGAGTGCGAGCAAATAAAAAACGAAAAAAAAAATCAAATATTTATGTGAATTTCGCGAGAATTTATCATCTCCTTTGGCTACATACTTACGTACGTAGATAAATAGATAGATGGATTCCATCGAATGGATGTATAGATTTGTTTTTGATGTGTGCTACTACTGCGGCTGCTGCTGTTAATTATTTGTTTACATTTTTTGTTGTTGTTGTTTTGATTCAATTACCTCCTACTACTTGCTGTGTAAACGCAACGGTTGGTTATTTTGATCTTTTGGATTCGCGTAGTAGTAAACCTACACGTATGTATGAACGTTTGTAGTTAGCGTTAGTTTTGCCGGTTTGCGCGCTCGTCGGTCAGCCAGCCCAGTAGCGGTAATCATATCATAAAAGTAATAAGATTTACGAAGTGTTGATGACTTTTTGATTTAAACGACAATATTTATGGTATTTATGTATGTGCTTCTGTGTTTTATTGTTGGTTTTAGCATCATATTCTTCAACGACATACAAATAAGAAAAAAAAATTAAGTAACAAAATATATGTACGTGAAGTGAAAAACAACTGAAGAGGAAGTGCAAAGAAATACGTAACGATTCTAACGGCGCCTAAATTAGGTATGTTAATATTTCATTTTTCAACGATTTTTTCTTTCTTAAAAATATTTTAAATACACATCTGTTTTGAATTATGACCAAAAATAAAAATGTTTTGTGAAACAAATTAATAGATCACCTGAAATATATATCACTTAAAGTGAAATCATTTAAAAGTGTTCGCGTTATATGTATACATATGTACATACTTGCACACATATTAATATTTACAGTGAAATGTATGGAAATTTGTAAATTATCAACAAACATTTCCAATCGGAATGGTTTTAAGTTTACAGTTAGATTTTGTTTAATATTCGTAAGATTCTGATAGTATAGATAGATAGATAGATAGATAGATAGATAGATAGATAGATAGATAGATAGATAGATAGATGATAGATAGATAGATCGATAGCTAGATAGATAGCTCGCTCTAGCTGCTTGCTCGATAGCTCGCTCGCTAGATCGCTCGCTCGATCGCTAGATAGCTCGATAGCTCGCTCGCTAGCTGTCGCTCGCTCGCTCGCTCTCGCTCGCTCGATGCTCGCTCGCTCGCTGCTCGATCGCTCGCTCGCCCCCCCTCGCTCGCTTGCTCGCTTGCTTGCTCGCTCGCTCGCTCGCTCGCTCGCTCGCTCGCTCGCTCGCTTGCTTGCTTGCTTGCTCGCTCGCTCGCTCGCTCGCTCGCTCGCTCGCTCGCTCGCTCGCTCGCTCGCTCGCTCGCTCGCTCGCTCGCTCGCTCGCTCGCTCGCTCGCTCGCTCGCTCGCGCGCTCTCGCTCGCTCGCTGCTCGCTCGCTCGCTCGCCTCGCTCGCTCGCTCGCTCCGCTCGCTCGGCTCGCTCTGCTCGCTCGCTCGCTCGCTCGCTCGCTCGCTCGCTCGCTCGCTCGCTCGCTCGCTTGCTCGCTCGCTCGTCGCTCGCTCGCTCGCTCGCTCGCTCGCTCGCTCGCTCGCTCGCTCGCTCGCTCGCTCGCTCGCTCGCTGGCTGCTCGCTCGCTCGCTCGCTCGCTCGCTCGCTCGCTCGCTCGCTTCGCTCGCTCGCTCGCTCGCTCGCTCGCTCGCTCTCTCGCTCGCTCGCTCGCTCGCTCGCTCGCTCGCTCGCTCGCTCGCTCGCTCGCTCGCTCGCTCGCTCGCTCGCTCGCTCGCTCGCTCGTTCTTGCTTGCTTGCTCGCTTGCTCGCTCGCTCTCTCCTCGCTCGCTCTCTCGCTCGCTCGCTCGCTCGCTCGCTCGCTCTCCGCTCGCTCGCTCCTCGCTCGCTCGCTCGCGCTCGCTCGCTCGCTCGCTCGCTCGCTCGCTCGCTCGCTCGCTCGCTCGCTCGCCTGTCGCTCGCTCGCTCGCGCTCGCTCGCTCGCTCGCTCGCTGCTCGCTCGCTCGCTTGCTCGCTCCTCCTCGCTCGCTCGCTCGCTCGCTCGCTCGCTCGCTCGCTCGCTCGCTCGCTCGCTCGCTCGCTCGCTCGCTCGCTCCTCGCTCGCTCGCCCTCGCTCGCTCGCTCGCTCGCTCGCTTGCTCGCTCGCTCGCTCGCTCGCTCCGCTCGCTCGCTCGCTCGCTCGCTCGCTCGCTCTCTCGCTGCTCGCTCGCTCGCTCGCTCGCTCGCTCGCTCGCTCGCTCGCTCGCTCGCTCGCTCGCTCGCTCTCGCTACGCTCCTCGCCTCGCTCGCTCGCTCGCTCGCTCCTCTCTCGCTCCTCGCTCGCTGTGTTCTTGCTAGTATATTGGATAGCTCGATAGATGTAGTCGTGATAGTGATGATAGCTGTTTGATTTAGCCGTATGTAAGTTTTCTGGTGACATCCTTGTCTTATGACCGTATTGAACCCCAACCTGATGTGTCGGATCTTGTTATTATACTGTCTGACTGTCAGCAACATTCCGGCTGTTTTGCAAAATGCTTTGCAGAACTCGTCTTATTTCTAGATATACATATATCCAAAAATATGGATTTTAATTTCAAAAAAAAAATTTTGT